CCTGCACCCTTCTCATCCCTGTGGAGAAGCGGACATGTTAGGACGCCACAAGAGCGTGTGTATGTGTGTGTGTGTATATATATATATATATATATATATATATACACACAGTATATACAGTATATCCTAGCATATTTCATGGAAGTATGCCCACTAGTGGCTGTAATTGGGATAACCAGGAGAAGACGCCAAGGTTCGTCGATGGACATGCCAACTTTCTGTGATACCGTGTCTGCATTTGTGCGCCGTTGCGTGTTCCGTTCTTGGCTATGAACAAAGCCACTCAGGCATCGGTGACACGCCGCGCTGATGACAGGCTGCCGCAGCCTCTGAGCTCACATGCTTTTCGTGGCTCCGTCCCCTTTAGAGAGCCAGGCCTCCCAAAAATAAGACGCCGCATCATAGGGGTCTCTACTTTTGCAACGCACACCTCTGATCCCACTCTTAAGGCCGGAGCGGCAGCTGGCGGAGATTAGACGAGTCAGCGACACGGACGTATAGCACCGGCTGAGATCGGGTTTGGGCTGGTGAACCTTTTTGAGTTTGCCTTTGTTTTGACATCTCGAGAATCGACAATTTTGAATGTGAGCGTTCTGTACCGATCCCGCTTTGGCCATGAGTTATTTCGGATACCGCCGGGAGCTGAGCAAGTACGAAGACGTGGACGAGGATGAGCTCCTGGCATCGCTCAGTCCCGAAGAGCTGGCCGAGCTGGAGAAGGAGCTGGTGGACATCGACCCCGACGCCAACGTGCCCATCGGGCTACGGCAGAGGGACCAGACTGATAAGACCCCGACGGGGACTTTCAGCAGAGAGGCGCTCATGAAATATTGGGAAGCTGAGACTCAGAAAATCCTGGAAAAGGAAATTGGAGGAGCGAGCCCGAAAACGGTCAGTAGCGAAAATGAGTGGAATTCTGTCCTTTATGATTGTCTTGTCCCCAATGTCTTCTGCATGTCTGCCTTACGGTTTTGGAATCTGTGCTCGGGCCTTCCTGCGCTGGGACAATCTCATCAGATACAATTCAAGAGCTGTGTGGAAAAGTTCTATAAGAGGACTGTGTAACGGATACCACTAGACTACCGCTGGATTTCCTCTTGCATTCCAAGAGACAAGTTGATGAAAGTCCAACGAAGAGCGTACAGTTCACAACGCTTCACCAAAATAACTTTAATTGCCTCAAATCAAAATTTAGTCTACGTATAAAACTCGTAGTATCGAATTTGTCCGGGCACTTGTTGCTGGGTAAAATTAGAAGGCCTCGATCGTAACTGTCCCTTTGACCAATGACAAAACAAAATGCATATAATGTGTCTATTAGAAATTATGAACAACATTGGTTATACAAATTTGAACCACAGTTCTGAATTAAATATGAAAAAATATACACTGTTAAAAAAATTCTCCATCTGTACCATGTGGATTTTGGCCTGTTTTACTGCCAGTTCACTTCTCCACCTTCCCCTACGTTGCGATCAATAGAGGCATTTAAAATAATCAATCAATGTGTGTCGATGTAGGACGAAGAAGATGAAGGCGTGACAGACAGAAACAGCGAATCCGAGGACGAGAAGGACGACGAAAGCGAGAAAGAGCAGAAAAAGCAACTGGAGGAGGAAGAAGAGGAGGATGAAGAAGAGGAAGAAGATGAGGAGAGCGAGGAGGAGGAGGAGGAGGAGGAAGAGGTCGTAACAGAGGAGGACAACGACGACGACGATGAAGAAGAAGAAAACACTCGCGTTGAGCCCGTCGCGCCGTCGCTGCCGCCGATCGTCGCGCCGCAGCAGCTGAAGCCCCAGCGGGCGGAGCCTGTCCCATTGACTCCTCCCCCTCCACCTCCAGACCCGAACGCCAGCGGGAATCCCACCGTGGTGGACGAGGCCCTGCAGCGGGCCCTGAGTGACGACCCCGAGCTCACAGAAGTCAACTTGAATAACATTGACGACATCTCGCAGGTACAAAAACGCCGCGAAACTACGTAATCATGTTTTGGTGATATTTTGATAATTTCACTGCACAATAGGTTGCGATTTCATTTGAAAAATGTTTTTCTTACTGTCAAAAAAATGTTTACCAAAAGGAAGTCAGAAAGTCATAAAAATCAAGAACTTTGAGTACTCACTGATACTAAGCACCGATACCGCTCGTATTTTTGATATATAAAATTAAATTTAACACGATGACATAAATAAATACATAAATAAAAATTAAACGCTGATTTGTTAACTGCTGCAGTCTAGGAGCAATGACTGCCAAGGAGTGGGATAGTTTTTGCCTTAAGTATCGATTGCTGATATCAACACCCTCCAGGATTATGCGATACCCTTAAAATAAGGACCGGTATCGGCCCCGTACCGATACCTGGTCTACAATTTCAAATTGTTAAACAAGAAGTCTCCATCGACAAACCGAAAAAAAAACAGCTGAATGTTGCTTTCATAGGAGACCCTAATCCGATTCGCCGAAGCCCTGAGGTCCAACACGCACGTGCGCGTCTTCAGCCTCGCCAATACCCACGCAGACGACCCGGTGGCTGTGGCCGTCGCCAAGATGCTGCGGGAGAACTCGTCCATCGTGAGCCTCAACATCGAGTCCAATTACGTGAGCGGCAAGGGGGTCCTTGCGCTGGTCCAAGCCATGCCCGGGAACAACACCCTGACCGAGCTCCGGTTCCATAACCAGAGGCATATTTGCGGAGGGCAGGTTGGTATCCGGACTCGCTGCACTACATCGGCTACGGCTGACATCACAACATTGGTTGCTTGAATTCAGGTAGAGATGGAGATGGTGAAGATACTTCGGGAGAACCACACCTTGATCAAGCTGGGCTACCAGTTTAACCTACCCGGACCCAGGATGAGCATGACGGGCATCCTCACCAGAAACCAAGACCGTCAGAGGCAGAAGCGACTGCAGGAGCAGAGGCAACAACAGCAACAGGGGGCGCCGGAAGGAGCCGCCAATCCACGGACCGCGGCGCTGGTAACGCAACATTCTGTCTGACGCTAATAATAGCTCAGTGATGGCACATTGTGATTTCCTAGGCATGTTGCCGAGGTGATCATTTGAAAACGTAAACACTGGCAGAGTTTTACAGAAGTGTTGCATATTGATATCTTATGTTTGCTAAGTTTTATGAGACATCATGAAAGTTAAAAAAATGACTTAAAAAAAAAACTGCAGATTTTGGTCCGCCCTGATTATTGCTGATCTGCAAAAAATTGCCTCTCAATGCACAAAAAAAGGTGCCAAAGCACTACTTTGCTATTAAACAGTGTTTTGGCCTGATAGAAGCTCCTCCCATCACATTCAACATAGTTCTTTGGCACAAGCTGATCAGCTAAAAATCTTGACGTGTTGATGATGCCAGAGCATCGGCTAATATAAAAGCAGTACTTTGGCGCCATGTGATAGGCAACATTTTCAGCAAATCATGGCAGATAGCTTCCAGAATTGAAGACAAGATTGACATCCCCGCCATTCCTGTTTCTAGAGAGGAACACCCTGCAGCTCACCTCGATCCTCTCCTTGGTCCTCCCCCAAAGTCCCGCGGAGCAACTTGGCTAAAAAGCAGACACCTCCAGCACCACCTCCACCACCTCCTCCTCCTCCGCCACCTCCCCCTCCTCCGCCGCTGCTTCCCTCTCGCCAGGAGAAGAAGAAGCCCACCCGGACCATCGCCGAGGTGATCAAATCCCACGAGGCCAGCAGCAAGAAGGCCAAGGGCAAAGGGAAGAAGGGCAAGAAGGGCAAGGCCAAGGACGAGACCACCAGCATCCTCAAGGAGCTGAAGAACGCGTTGAGGCCCGTGGCGGCGGAAAGACGGGGGGAAGAGAGCAGCAGGCCGTCCACGCCGATGAGGTCGGCCCACGACCAGCTGATGGACTCCATCCGGAACAGCAGCATCCGGAACCTGAGGAAGGTGAGGAAAACACTCATTACCTTATTTGGCCAAAGTAGATATTTTTTTTTTTTGCACTAGCATTAAGCTCACGGCAAATCATTCATAATAAAAAAAAAAAAATGACGCAATGACACTCTTCTCATTCAAATAAATGGAAATGAAACCATCCCAGCTCCACAAAAACACAGACCGCATTTTTTTTGTAGTCGCGCAGAGGATAAAGAATATATGCCTGCAAGTATTACTCTGTCTGCATGTGTTGCTAACTACGTTGAAACATTTACACTCGCCGCAACACCGAAGCTAGCTTTGTTAGCCTCTCTACCATGTTTTCCATTCTGTGTTAGCGCCAAGCTAGCGGCCTGCCAAAGACAACGTCAAAGCCAACTGTTTTTATTGACGTTGACGTCTAACGCTCGCAACTCCAAAAGATCATCGTCATAAGTCGAGCTATGGAGCAAAATAATCATAATAATAATGAAATAATAATGCGTAGAAAAAGTTCCCTTGTTCGCCACAGACATATTCCCAAATGTATCACATTCCTTCCCCATGTTAAATTAATGTTTGCCACTAAAATACTCGTCACACTTTTCAATAGAGACAAGTGTTTTGCTACCTCGTGGCTTGTCAGAGTGGAAAAATAAAAGTCAGCTCTGCTTCCAGCCGGAAAATTCCTTCACTTAATGCTGCTATTGATAGAAAGTGTTCGGCGGAGGTTAGATAAAGGCAGACGTAGCAACAACACAAACACTGTCAGTTGACTCTTCATGCTACAGTTTGTTTATATGTAAAAAAAAAAAATATATATATATATATACTTTTTTTCCCTTTTTTTTTAACAGGTTGAACTTCCATTGCACCTACGATAATACAGAAGAGGAAGATGCCGTGGGAACTAGCTGGGATACGCGAAGATCAACAGCAATTAAAAAAAGGATTTTTTTGTTGGTTTTTTTTTTTTTTTTTGCACTGACACCAAGATTTGTTTTTGTAATTTTATTTTTGAAACCTCAAGTTGTTTACTTACAATTCTTTTTTTTTTTTTTCTTGTAAACTTGTAAATACGACGTGCTATGTTTGAATGAATGACGTGTTCATTTCTAAATACAGATTTGTTTTTGATTGTCATTTTTTTTTTGGGTCAAGTTATTATGAAGATCCTATATGACACGGAATGGGGAAATTCTGTGGATTTTTTTTTTAATAATGACGGTTATGGATGATGCTCAGTTAACAGATCGATGCGTTTAGTTGGTGTGAAGTGCGCTACAACTTGCCCTCAGCATGTGTAAAATCGTTTTTGGGAATTCTATTTGCCGGTGCCAACGACTGTATTAACTTTGCCGCCAGCTCACTTTGACAGCAATCTGCACCTTCTATTCGATACTTTTTCGACTTGTGACAACACGTGTACTCAATATCCTTCCCTTGGGCGCGCACGCATTCCAAGGCCTAAGCATGCCTAAGAATATAACTTCACGGCCGGGGGAAGCGGGGCACTTTGTCCGAACAATCCGCCCAAGTGCCAATAAGGGGAACCCTTTCATTTCAGTGAGATCTGCTGCAAAAATGTGGAGACATCCTGCTTGTTCATGCGGTCAGTGACCCCCCCCCCCGTGTGGAAAATCGGGATGCATTTGTGCTGTCCACCAGAATTAAACACCCCTCCTCCCTCCGAGCTACACAACAAAAACGGTTCATGGCGCAATATCTGTCAGAAGATAATACATTCCTCTGAAGTTACTAAATCCGAACTTCATCTTTCGCCACCTGATACGCGGTTGTAGTTTGGTTGCCCGCGTGTCACTCGGGGTGCACAGAGCCAGCGGAAAGTGACATACCTTGCTTTAATCCCCTCGCAGAAGGTCCACAGCTGAGATGTGACACAGGGGGCCGTTAGCTAAAAATAAAATGGCACATACAATTTATGCTGTTGTTATTGCCACTCTTGAGTAAACAACGGCAGGGCCGATAAGGACCAACAATGGGTTCTTTTAACACCGCGATGTGACTGAATACAAAGATGTATTTCACAATTGAAAAGTATGCCTAATCTGAGATCAAAATAGGCAAACACCCCCCAAAAAGTTCTCAGTATCTCTTTATTGGAGGGTACAATGTACAAGAGCTTGGACAGAATTTCGCGAAATGAGCTGTAAATTCTTATTCACTATGCAGTTGTACAATAAATTCATCCAACAGAAAGTATAAATATATACTTAAAATAGTGTATTGAATGTTCTTGACGCTATGGGTATTTTAGCCAATTTAGCCTCATTGCTAAATCTATGCTACAATCAAGGCCATTTATTTTATTTAAAAAAAAAAAATTCAAGGCAGGAAAAAAATAAGAACTGCTGAATATTTAAAATATGTTATCGGGGCAATTTTCCCAGTTATATGAAAGTCTTTGGCCTTGTTTGCTCGTTAGCATACATCAAAGCAAAAGTTGTTGGCAGTTTGCTAGCATTCGATTAAAAACAGGACACAGTTAGCAAAGTTGGCAATTAGTTTTGCCATGGAATATAAAAAGCAGGTCAATCAAAAACATAACACATATTTTCAAGTAAGCGTAATCCTTTTTTTTTTTTTTGGAAAGTAATGCATTATCAGTTAGCATTGCTAGCTTTTAGCCTCCACATAATCGTCGCCAGCGGCGACTATACCTTTAAATCATTATTTTCATTTTCAATGCATTTTCACATCATGCAGAAAACTTACCACCCCTTGAAGTCTTCACATAAACAAAATAAATTAATATTCCAATCACATAATGCAGCAATTTTTGTATCGAGTAAAACATAAGCATCAAGAGGTGTAAAACTAAAAATGTCTTTATTCCTCAAATTTTACACAATCAATGACCCAATTCCAACAAATAATGTCAAAACTTTGCTTTATATTGTATAGCGTAAAGTAGAAAAAGATGGAAAAAAAAATAACAAGATTCCGTGGTCGTGACTGACAAACCAACTTGAATGTAGTGTCATTGTGTTAATAGAATAGAAAAAAAAAATATGTCCAATGAGTTGAGATAATCACGGCATGACTGTGTCACAAAATATCACTTATTAAAATAAAATATAAGTGTCAGTTTATTAAACGGGAGTCTGCATCCGTTATCGATACTGCGTCGAAAAGCAAATGTACACAGGACGATAACCGTCGATAAACCGCTGCAATCATATTCTTCCTCATCTCGCAAAGTGCGTAGGTTGCGCTTTATGATACGGACTACACAGACCTGAAAATGTCCTTGTTGTCATGCATGCGAGTCTTCTCTTTCTGTGCAAAAAAAAAAAAAAAAAAATACATCAAGACTCACATCTGGAGCACATTTACAGAAAACAGCAGCTTAAGCGAAAAGAGTCCAAATTTTTTTTTTTGGTTTGTTTTTGTTTTTTAGAAAATATGGTTGCTAAACTACGATCGTTAGAGTAAGCAAAAATAAACCACAATTAAGGTATGAAAATAATTCTTTTTCTCTCAACGGGAGGATTTGCGGCAACTCACTGCCTCTGAGAATTTTGTCCGGAAGATCGGTGACAGCTTGATGTCAAAATTGCACGTTATTTTGGGAAGACGAGGACGAGCGCGAGAGTGACAGGACGCGAGGGAATGTGTGGCGACAAAGTGACAGATGGCCTGACGAGCGGCGGGGGAAAAAAAAAAAAAAAAAAAAGCAGAAGACGGTTAAAAAGGGACATGAGACGTCAGAGAAACATCAACAACAGATATGAGAATGTCCGACAGATTAAATGAGGTATTGCACAGATTAATAAAAAAAGCATAAAGGCAAAAAAACAAACAAACAAAAAAAAAAAAAAACAAAAAAAAAAACAGCAAATTAATAGAAAAAAAAATCTTTTTTTGTGATTTGAAATTAAAGTTTTTTTTTTTTTTTAAAGTAAGGAAGGACCAATTTTTGCGTCATAATCATCCAAAGGTACGGAAAGGAATACGGGAGGTGGGGGAGGGCGGAGCCAAACACACTAGTCATCCCATTCATCCTCATCTTCAAAGTCCTCATCGTCTTCGTCGTCGTCGTCCTCGTCTGGAGAAAGAGAGACAGACTCGAGTGAGTGATACGAGAATGGCTGCGATGGAATTTTGCGGAAATGTGACAAGAGTGGAGCGCCGCGGTGCATTTTTTTTTACCGAATTTGAGCAAAGTACCTGAAGAATGAATGGCCTTGCTCCTCTTCTGCATGACCTCCATCAGCGCCCCCACGATGCCGGCCGAGGGGGCCAGGGAGGACGGCGGCGAGTCGTTTGTTTCGTCCCTCTGAGGATGACAAAGCGGCGTTTCGAGGTCAGACGACAAAACAGGAAGTGTTGAGAAGGAATGGGAGGAAAACTCACCGGTTTGAGTTGGATCCCTTCTCGGATTTGGTGCAGGAGCGCATCTCGCCCGGTGGTGTTGGACGCCGGCCGCTCCTTTTGCTCCACCTTCTTCAGCTGGGTGCCTTCGCGGATCTGAGTCAGCAAGGCCGACTTGCCGCCGGGCGGCAAACCGCCGTCCACTGTTCCGTTGGCCTCAAAGGACGCCGGCGGGGGAGGGGGCGGAGGAGGCGGAGGTCCTCCATAAGAAGGAATGGAGGAAGTGGGGGGCGGCGGCGGGGGCGGCGGCCCGGGCGCCG